TTTTTTTTTGCAAATTATTTAACAAAAAAATATTCACAATGATTTTAGAGGCACGAATGAAATTACACGGTTTTCTTTAAACAGATTTTATTTTGGTTGAAAACCACTCTAAGTTTTTAAGCACAATTTGAAACTAGCATGTTTATAAGACGTTAAATTGTGTGTTGTATAAAATTCCATTTCTGTAATATTGCTATTATTATCTATTAACAAATTAAAAAGTAAAACATAAATTCCCACTTTCATCCATTTTATAAATTTTATTCTTAAATTTAGTTTAATACACACATTATAAAAAGATTTTTTGTAAATGTGCATACATGCATATGTATATGTAATTAATTAATTCCAAAATTGATCAATATATTACAAATAGATCAGAAAGGATTGCAACATTTCTAGATATTTGTGTAAATACCGCAATTACTGATTAATTTACTCAATTATTGAATTAATAAGCCAGGAAAATTTTAACACGTGCGGTAAGCTTTTTCTTAAAAAAAAAAATTAAAATAGCATAAATTGTTGCTATGAAAAATTCGCAGCAACATCAGTTTTTTTAAAAACATTATTTTAAGCAACTTTTTAATTTAAGTATGGCAGTATTCCATATTGTAGAAACAACTTAAACTTTGACAATGTATCACGTTCCGTATTGTGTCTTAAAAAAATTTTACAATTTCGATTTGTATAGTATGCGTTTTTGAAACGCAAAGGAAAGCAAATTGTACATCCAAAAAATTCTAGATGGTTTTTGTAAACTTTTGATGATAAGTATTGACAGTATTCGTTAGTTAACATTTAAATTGACATGGCGGTCTTCAATTTTTGACTTTTTCCGTTGATTTTGATGAAGAAATTTTAAGGAGAATGGTGATAATACTCATAATGTCAATTTAAAAATGAAATGTCAACGTCAGCAAAACAAAATTTGTGTTCTGAAAGGAAAACAAAATATCTTTGTTTTTGTTTGATTAAATTTAATCTTAATTGTTGTTCTGTTCCAATTAAATTTTTAAATCGGGATTTTAGTGACAGAAATTTACCCTTCCAATCTTATGTTGCGATTTTTATAACAAAATCATATTATTTATGGCGATATTTATTTCAAAAAGCATATAAGGAATTTTTATACAATTACAAAACTCACAAAACATAAAATTTAATTAAAAGAAATCAGCTCTGATCACCTAAATTAAGAAAACATTCATGGTAGCGCATTTAACTAGAGTATACTGTGTTTCATATATAATAATAATATGTTCAAACATAATATAAATAGTATTTATATATGTACACACATTTATTATCCATATGCAAATTATATAATTATTATTTTACATGTGCATGTATGAGTGTGTATTAATAAAATATTTTAAATTAATTTTGTTTTCTCTTTATTATTATAATTATAAATTTCAAAAACCATTAATGGAATTGGCGACAAATTATTATAAACTAATTTTGTCGTCATTAAATGTAAAAACAAATTTCAAAGAGAGAGAGAGAGAGAAATTGAGAGAGATATTAAATATAAAATAATATGTATACGATACGAATACGATGCGAAAGCGATGCGATGACCGATGAAAATAACAAAAAAATTCAAAAATTTAAAATTAAATTATTTTTTATAAAATGTGCTTTTGAATTGAAATTGTTTTTCAAGCTTCTTTTCTTATTCGGGTTATATTTCAACAATTTTTGTATGTGCGAAAAATTAAATACACAAATATTTATATATACATTCAGAGTAATAAATAAAGCTGTATCTGGAAAGCTTGTTTATTAATTCTTGCTTATAACTTTACTTAATTAGTTAGGCGCCATTGATAAAATTTTTATTATCGATGGCACTAAGATAAATGTTTGTCTATTTGGTTTTAATTTTTTTTTGTTCCAAATATTATTATAACCGGAGTAGATATCTAAATATGTAGGTATGAATATACATATGTACATGCACATTGGGATTTTTAGATATGGGTAAATGTATTTGCTTACTGAAATTTTATCTTAAAAAAAAATTTTAATCATTAATATAAAATTTATTATTATATAATATTTTAGAATTTTTCCTTATTTTGAATAACTGGTTGTTATAATTTAAATAAATATGGTTAACAAATTAGAAAAAAAAATGTATATCAAAGACAAATTTATCATTATTAATGAATATTATAAAATTAATTGGAATATTTTAATTTTAACACTTAAAGAGCAGAAATTCTTTTTTGTGTTTTGCAATTTTACAGAAAATCAATTGTGTTCCGAAAATCATTTGAGTTATTCAATAGCATAATTTTAATTAGTGAATAACTATATTCAAACCCTTCCGAAACGCAGTATAAAAAGTTTTAATACAGTTTAAATACCGTCTAAATACAGTTTTAACGTACAACATCGAAAAGCTTTTAAAAAAAAACATCGAAAAGCTTGTAAAACATTTTTGCCATACATTTTTTGATAATATGCAATGTCAAGAGCTCTTAATTTACATTTTGGAATATGATACATTGTAAATTTTACGTTTTCACTGCGTTTTGGAAGTCATAGTATCTATTACTCCTGCAAAAAAAAAAAAAAATTATTGAGTTTATTATTTTCAATTCAAACTTTATAGCTTTGAGTCTAATATTGAACCATTAATACAAATGTTACAATTTTTAAATATCATTGACCTTACAAAAATCTGCAAAGTCCAAAGTTCAATGTATTCAGTTTGTTATGCGTATATTATATGTGAAAAGCAGCACAAAACAGAATTTTTATTGGATAGTCGAATTTGAAAATGACTGTAAATATAAAAAATTAATGACAGCAAATGTCAAAATATCATTTTCGAACTTCACGAACTTGTAGTGAATATACAATATTAGTTAATGAAATGCATATTACAATGTGTAGATTTTTGTCAAATGTAGTGTTTTAGTTCTGACGCATATCTGCACAATTGAAATTACAGTATATTATATACATTTAATTAGTATATTATAATTATAGAAAATAAATGAACAAAATACTTTAACACCTTTAATTTATGTGTATATGTATGTATAAATAAAAATTTAATTAAAAACTGTATACAATTAAATTGTACTTTTCCATTTTAAAAATGGAAAGGAATGTTTACTTAATAGTTTATCCGCTTATTTATCTATGAATTTACATTCATATTAGTGCAGTACTTTTAATGGTACACGTACATACACACATACTTATGTAAATGTATCTTCATTACTGTTTATTAGATACGTGATCTTTTAATTTTTTCTCTTCTATACCCTTATAATTCGTTTTTTGGTTTGCAAAAATTTTTTGTAACTTGAAACATTATTTTAAATTGCTAATCTAAACAAAAAAATTAAAAAGAGTAAGATAATTACAGCAAAATAAAAAGAAAATTTAATTTTTTTTTTGGGTTTTCAAAATGTTTACCCTACCCGTCGCCAGTCGCTATTCCTATCGCCTTGAAATTGTATATAAAAAAGAAACATTTATGTAGCGCCCATATGTAAATAGTTTTGAAAAAAAAAAAAATAAAAATCGAATAAATAAATAAACAAAAATATTTTGGCGCCAGACTGTAAAAAACAATAATGCAAAGTTTTTTTTTTTAACATTTAAATAAAATTTAATAATCATAAATAGAAAGAAAATTTTAATACCACTATAGCACAAACCAAAAAAACAAATATATAGAAATAAAATTTGATTTAGTCACACTTGGCAATAAAAGAAAATTAAATAGATATATTGTGCGTTTCTATATTGAGAAGGGAAATTTGAGTTAGAATATTATAAGAATACAATTTATGAAATTTATATTTAGTATAACAGTTGATTTTCAATTAATTTTTAACCTTAGTGTACACATTAGATATGTATGTATGTATGTAAAGCGTAACTTCAAAAATACAGTAACACTTCATTGCTTCAGTTCATTCAACAACTCATAAATTAATTTGTATAGTAATTGCATATTACAGTAGAACAAAGATATAAGTATGTACACTGATTTTTTTACGAAAATTCGTTGCATTTAACAGAACTTTTCATTTATAAAGAGTTCGCATATATCCAATTAATGCGCACTTATCCCAAACATGTAAAATGTATTTGAAACTTTTTGTGTTGATTCAAATTTTGTTTTCTAATACAATGAGACGCTCAGCGCATTAGTTTACTACTTGGAAAATTGACATTTCGAGTAAATAGCAACTGAAATGTTATATATTTAATTTTTAAGAAAATTTTTAAAAGGCAAATATTAACTTATGTCAAAATAGAAGTTGGATAGGCCACTAACGCGCGACCACCTAATGTGTACATAATGAAAATTAACTGATACATAATTTGACATCTAAAAACTTGTTAGTTCACAATATGCCATGTTGACATAAAAATTTTCAGGGATGTCAGAAGTAGAAAAATTTAATGAAAGAAAAATTTTGTTTTATCTAACAAAATTTTTTATACATATTAATATGCAAATTTTTGTGAGATTTTCATTTTGTGGCTTTGAAAATAATTACTTTTAGCAGAGTTTTGCATCTGTCCGCATGGCATGTAAACGTGAAAATTTACATGTGAAGTGTACATAAAAAAATGAGGCCTGTGATTTTTTTTACAATTTTTAAGGCAGAAATACCTTTTCACTATTGAAAATTTACTTAAAATAGTGTGGACTATTTTAGTGCTATGAAATGACTTTGACTTCCAAACTTCAGTAATACGCTATTAATACATATTTGAGTTTACGAATTTTAATTGCTGAGCTATGTACTTTTAATTGAAGCTACTTTACTTTTCTTACCAAAATGAAATTCAACTGGTACTCTTTATAATGCAAAAATGAAATTGCAAGCAAAATTATATAGGAATTTTTATTTCCAATTTTTCCCAATATTGAATACACTACTTTAAATTATTTAATAAATTTTTGTTTCAATTATAATTAAATATTTTAATTTTATATGTTTTTTAATTCCTAATTTTAGATACATCAATTATATCATCAAGTTGGTGTAAAGTAGCATATTGGGAAATTAAACAGCGTGTTGGAGGTCTTTTTCCAGTTGAAAATTCTTCTGTAAATATATTTTTCGATCAGTACCGTGGCGATGGTATGTGCTTAAAAACTTTGGTCGAACAAAGAAAAACGGCAACACCACAGCAGGTGCTAAAAGTACGGCAAAAAATAGGTTTAGGTAAGTGAAATTTTACTTATGTAATAATCCAGTTTCATAGTTTAATATATTCATTTTTCATTTGTATTTTATATTAGTTTATGTTTATAGCACATTATTCATTATATATATATATATTATAGGTGTAACTCTTAGCCAAGAGTCTGATGGAGTTTGGTTATACAATCGTTCATCGTCTCCAGTTTTTGTACATTCGCCAACATTAAATCCAAGTGATTATTTTTTCCATGTGACAAAAGTGCCACCAGATTATTGCCTGAAAGCCTATGATAATTTTAAGTAAGTATATTCGTATATAATTATTATAAATGTTTACTTATAATTTAAAAAAAAAATCAAATTTATGTTTATTTATACAATACTTTTCTTTTTCAATATACTTATCCATTTGTGTTTGTTTGTTTAATAATTTTAGGGCTAAAACACAAAATATTAAGTGGCCATCACAAATAGCTGGAGCTCAAACCGGACCAATTGATAGATTCAGTATGAGAATTAGTTTTGCAAAAGGCTGGGGACCAAATTACACCCGTCAAGATGTAACCGCTTGTCCATGTTGGTTAGAAGTATTATTGTGTCGGTGACAATATCTAACCACAGCTACAATTTATTTACTAAATTTAGTCTGATTTAAATATACATACAATATATATAATATAAAAATATTATGTGAAGAATTTTTGATAATATATAATGTAAATAATATAAAAGAAATTATGTTAAATAATATTAAGTATATAGGAAAAGCACAGATAATAAGTCAGGAAAATATTATAAAAAAAATTTTTGTATTAATGTGAGAATCCATAAATTGTTGTAAAAAATTTAATAAACAAGAAAATTATTTAATTATTTTTTTTCAAATTGCTGGTTGAGAAATTTTGAACAATTTTTTTTTTTATAATGTATAACATGTCAATATGGGGTTATATAATATTTAAAATAAAAAACTATAATAATGCTTAGTATAAAATGTAAATATTATTAGAACTTTCGAAAATTGATTATTTAAAAAAGAAGAAAACAGAAAGCAATATCATAATTTTTTTTATTATTTGATATTTATTAAAAAAAAAGAATTAGATTTTTTTTCGAAATTTTTAAAAAAATATTGGAAGTATTAAAATATTAGACAAAATCTTATATAACAAAATGTACTGGAATAAAAATAATATAAAAAATATGTATATAACAATACTTAACATTAAAATACTATATTTTTAATTTTGAATTCAAAATTGAGCAAGAAAAACGTGTAACAAATCCATAATTTTTTGAATTAGTACAAATTTTTTAATATATATAATTACTTTATTTGATTATTTTATATTATAAAAATCTGTGTTAATAGAACTATAAAAAAAAACATACATAAAACACTTTAGAAATTTTGAAAGCTATATAATTTATTAAAAGATTTTAATATAGCAAAATAGTAATAAATGATTGTAGTATTTTAAAAATGTTTAAAAAAATAATTTTTGTTTTGTTAACTTGTTTGAAATATTTGATTTTTTTCCTAACATTTATGTTTAATTTTATGTATTGAAGCGATTTGATTAAATATTTCATAATTTTTATTTTCATTCAAATAATATTTGCCATATAATGTACATGATTAATTAGTTCTTTTTATATTTATTCTATGATTAATTAGTTCTTTTTACATAACAGTAATATAACTATTTTCACACAAATTTAAAATTTTCAAAACCCATTTATTTTTATATTCTTCAAATTTAAATTATCATCCATATTCTGTTAGTCGCAATACTTGACGTGATGGAGATTGTTATTCAAAAATATTGTAATTTTCTGAAAAAAATCAATTCTATACTGAAAAACAAAATTATTTTAAATAGTATCCCATCACCCCAAGTGATGCGACTGACAGAATATTGATGTATATTTCTTATAACAAAACTTCTTTATTTCATTGCATTGTCATTTTATGAAGAAGCTCACTTCCATTTCCTGTGTGAAATTTATAGTAGAGTTTGATTGTTCGACATTATAAATTTTGCAAATTTATATCGAAATTTTATACATTTTTTTAATCGATATTATTATTTAATGCAATTTTTTCATATATTGAAAAAAAATTTGCTAAATATTAATTTGAAAAATAATAAATATATATTATATATAAATTCATTTATTCATTCAATTGCAATTCTCATTTATTCTTAAAAAAATTCCAAACCTACTTCTTTTCTTTTACTAAATTAAAAATTGTACATATCAAATTAAGTTTTATACCAATTTGATTGATATTTCATTTCCATTTCTGTGCTCATTAATTAATTTCAATTTTGTTGTTTACAAATTAATCAAATTAACTAAAAACTGAAATCATATAAATTTTGGCAAATTAAATATTTAAAATAAAAAGTAAAATAATTGTTTCTACAAAATTAAATGTAAAACAAATGGCATATAATGTAAAAAATTGATGAAAATATTTAAAACAATCTAAATTATGAATTGTTTTTAACCAATTAGAAGTATATTTTAAAATTAACTTTTCATAAAAGTTTAGTTCATATTTGCGTTTTAAGATTAAAAAATTGTGTTTTTGTAATTTCACATAAAGTTTCGTGCATTTTTTTTTTAATATACTTTAAGAATTCTGTTAATGAACCTGAACATTTTCAATTTAACATAATTTATTTATTCACATATAATATGAAAAACAACAATAAAAACTTTAAAATTATGTTTTATAAAGTTGTAATATAAACTAAATGTAAAATGCGCATTAAATTCTTTTGCATCTTAATCGATATTGCAGTTAATAAAAGTATTGTAACTTTGCCAATAGACGTCTAGATTTGTAATGTAAGCAATAATGCAAAAAAAACAAATGTCGCCGTTATAAATGATGTCAATTGCCGATAATTTTATAAAAATTTTTTTGTCATTTTCAATTGCTGATTTTGTTTTTTATGCAAAATTGAAAATTTTGAAGATGTTAAATAATTTTATTTATTGACATTTAGTTCTAGAAATAATTTGTTACTAAAACACTAGTCAGTATCAAAAATAATTTGTTATTTATCATTAATTGTTGATTCATGGTTGGTGATCGTCAGATGCGTAATTGTTGTCAACAGGCAGTTGACATTATTGATTACATCATTATAGGACAAAAAATATTTTTTTATTTAAAAATAAATAAATTTTAAATTTATGATTTATATTTTAATGCAAGACTCAATGTACGGGTATAACAGAATTTACTTTAAAATTTTGCAAATATGAACTACAAACTTTTTTTTTATTAAATTTTAATTAAAAATGTTTTCTTTAAAATAATATTTTTGTTTATTTATTTTCTTTTGTTTATTAAAAACATTTTTAAATAAATACCAATGATTAAATACTCAATTTTGATATTTCAATATTTTTGTATAAAAAATTAATGTTAGGTTTGCATAAATAAATTGTGAAATAAACAAAAAATAAAATATATATATATATATGTATATATATATATGTATATATATATATGTATATATATATATATATGGCAAGGCTTGTCAATATTATTAAATAATAATCGCAGCATAATTGCCTCTTTTTATATAAATACATAAATCCTTTTTCAAGGATATGCTTTATTTAATATAAGATAATGATGACTATATACGCAAAAAAAAACTATATACATAAAGAAATACATATATTTTTTCAAAAAATTAAAAAAAACCCTGAAATTACAAAAAAAATAATAATATATACATCTATATATATATAAAAATTTGTATAAAAAACTTGAACAAAAGTCGACATTAAATACTGTTCACACAAATTAGTATTAAAAAAAAAATTTTATTTAAACAAAAATTTTAAAAATTAAAATCATAATTTTCATACAGAATATTTTTATAATTAAAATATAAAAACAAATAAAATTTTTATTTATAAAAGCAATATTGGTAATAATCTAAAAAATACACTTTTAACTTTAACTAAGTAACTCAATTTATTTTTAAAATAATTAGAAATTAAAACGCAAATTGAATATATTGTAACATATTTATTTGTAGGGGGGTTTTCGTTAATTCAGCTCTAGAATATAGTTCCAACTTGTAGAATGTTTAAAAATCGTACGCTGCACAAATGTTCTAATGTAGGATCTGTAGTTCAGCGTGCATAAACAAAAACCCCCATTTCATTGTTTGGCAGCTAAAAGAAGTCATTAAATTTTCATTTTTAATAAAATGATTGAAATTATTTTTTTGTAACATACAAAACTAAATTGCATTACTATTTTTTAATATATTCTGTATGAATAAAATCAAAATTTTGGGAAAAAAAAAATATAAAATCATAATAAATGTTTTATATAAAATAAAAATTAAGTTTTAAAAAAAAAATTATCGAAAGCAAAAAAAAATTTCAAAAAATTATTCTTTTTTTTTTACAAAATTTTAAATAAGTTTATTTTTAATATCGGAAAGAAAATACAAATAAACAATGATAATTTATATACACAATGTTACGTATATAATATAAAATAATAACTAAGTTAAAAACAAAAAAAAATTCAACAAAAACCTGTATAAAGTATCGTAACTATGTAATATATAAAATATAGAAAATATATGTAAGTATATATATAATGTACATTTAATGAAAATAATTATTTAAAATTAATCAAAATCGTATATATATATATATGAAAGAAATTACAAACAAAAACCGAGTAAGAAAAAAAAAATTTGTATAAGCAAAAGCAATTGTTTATATTTTGTTAAAAATAATTAGATAAAAAATTAAAAAAAAAATTATTTAAATTAAAAATTTCAATATTAAAAAAAAAATTTACTTTGTTTCATTCAGTTTTTATAGCCTACAGCTCTCTTTTTCATTCAAACATTTTGATAAAATTGAAATATTAATATGAAATCCTTTTATAACAATTAAATTTGAAGCGGTTTGAAAGCGGTTCGTTTCCGATAATTCAGATATGTACTTAAAGTTTTAACTTAAATCTTAAACATCTTTTTGAATCAGGTATAAAATTAGTATTTAACATAGGGCGAACTTTTTTTAGGTGAAATTAAAATATTTTCGACATCCTACGATAGTCGACCGCGCTTCTTTTGTAAAAAAGATTTAAGCTGCATTTGAAGATTTTGTAGTTTTAATTTATAGGATAAGTTTTATATTAGGATCAAAATTTAAACTGAAATTTCGAAAACCTCCAAATTCTGTTAAAAAATTTTACCAATTTATGTATTTCTTATTGATTTGCTGGTTTACTCCGATGTGTAATTTTTAATAATTGAATTTGATTTTAAATTAAATTTACTACATATATTAACAGAACAGTATACTCAAGTTTTCAAACATAAATTAAATATTTTATCGCGGCATGATGATCGATGACGAAATATATATACTATTAGAAATGAGTATGAACTTAAAAAATGGACCTTAAACAATTTATTCTATACAAACATTTGCAAAATCTTCACAAAAATTTACAATTAAAAGCATAAAGAAAAGCCTATATAAAAAAAAAATAAAAAAGTGCATTTTTTTTTAATTTAAAAAAAAAATTATTAAATTGGAGAGTATTTACTAGTTAATTCCAAGAACTTATGTAAGCACGATTGTGATGATTACCTTAGTTTCTTGTATTATAATCTTGAAATGTACTATTAAATTGTTCTTTTTATGAACATACCTATGAGCGATCATGTTATGTGAACACAAAACTATTTGTATTGACTATAGTCTGTTATATAAATACAATATATGTACATTTTGATATAAAATTAAAAAATAAGTAATGTTAATACATAATATACCAAAATAATGAGTAATACATAGTTACAAGTGTGATATTATTTGAAAAATAAGTCAAATTAGCTTATATATGTGCGAGTCTACTGGATACTACTCGGAATTATAATGTATGTGTGATAAGTATATAATAAGCTCAAATTTAAAGAAAACCCAAAAGGACACCAGTGCACTTATACCTTCTAAAACATAATAATATGGTACTGAAATTTCGAAAGTTTACGTGACAGCTTTTACCGTTTTTA